TAACGGAACATAAACTGACGCAATCACGAAAGCTAAGAAATTAAAAATAACGGATCTCTACAAGCAACCAAAAAGCACCTACCTGCGAGATATTGAAACAAGAGCTGACGCACTTAGATGGGTATGCATGACCTAATGACAGTTAAAACAGATAGTAACACAATACATAAATGCAGAAGGAAACACGAACTATTCAAAAGGTAAAATGGCACTGATGATGGCACAACGTCGAACCAAACCAAATTTGACAAGGGGTGACGAAAAATCGTTCCACAATACATCATACTCCTACCCTGTCGGAAACACAAACAACCAAAAAGAAGATAATAGGGGATCTATTCTTCCAATTGTATCATTGGAATTGCAGGACTTTGAAATCGTAGCGGAGGCAGCGGTCACTATTGCTCCGTGCGAGGTCGCAAAATTACTAAGATACTTTTCCAGGGTGAGCGGCAATACCCAGCCGTAATGTTTCGCACCAACACCAATTCTTCTTTTCCTTCGCATGACCGCTGACTTCACGCACACATAGCCGGCCAGAGCCCCTTCCATCATTGAGGGTATGGATATATCAGGTAGGTGCATACTATCAAATCATAGCTCTGTTAACATTTACCTTAGCCGTCATCAAATGAAGGGACTCTCATCCTTTTCAATTATTATTTTTTTTTAGAATTTTAAAAATTTTAAATTTTTCTAAATTTTTCATCAACATTATTTAGGAATATGTATACATTAACAATTGCTCTAATAGGACTATATAATGGATTTGCACTGCCTTATAATTTCCAGGCAGCTAAAAAGCCTTTCAAATCCGCAGTAAAATCCTGTTCTTTCAAACTTCAATTATTTAAGGATTAAATCTAATTAGTGCAAAATATCTAATTTCCAGCTTTAATAGGTAAATTAGCATATAATGCACATAAATTCATAGCAATGGAATTGTCAAAGCCATACAATAACTATTCGGATGTTCAATCAAGCAACCTAATAACAACAGAACCAACCGTCACAACATGACGCTTAAAAAAACACACACAAAAAAATCCTTAAAGGATTAGCAACACCTGACAAATGCAAGGAAGTAGAAAATAGTGCGAACAACTGCCACAAATTAAAATAAATCAACAATAGTATTAGTGAAGAACTGCAGTTGCAACAACAACAAAATAACTAAAACCGAATTCTAATTTTACTGATAAAGCACAAAACAATAATGTCTTCGAAAAAATTTACATGAATTACGTGCAATTATAAAGGAGATGTAATGTTATCAGATGCGCTGGAGGTCGCAGTTTTTTTTTTTAAGTGAATTTACTTACAAGTGCGCATTCAATTTGCATACATTTGTGCATTCGATTTGACTGGTTTGAGTATTTGTGTAACAACATCGCAACATTATAGCTATTTTGATTATTATTATTTTCTCCTTTTGCTGTTTTTTTTTTTGTGGTGCACTGCCATTCATGTTTCCGTTTCCGTTGCATTACGCTATGTGCTTATTGTTAAACCGCAAGCTTGCATATCAATAACTCTCACCTTAAGGACAATTTTAATTTCGTTCACCCAACAAACATTTGGAGTAGTTGAAATCAATAATTATTTTACAATATAAATTATTTATACAAATAAGTTAAAAGAGCTGAGGGACCAACATTTACTGAACCCATGTTTAAGAGCTTTCTCGACATAATTCTCTTTGAGTATGTGAAATTTTCGTGATGCTGGAAACCTGGCTGCTGGCACTAAACACATAACCATAACTCCACTCTTAAAAATAAATCTTAAATTTAAGTTAGTTTTCTTTTTAGAAAATATTGAATGAACTGTTTGTTTTCAGTTTACCTAATAGATTAATGAATTAAGGGAATACGACGGTAAAACTTTCGGGCATAGCTCTTATAGAAAAATTAAAAATGAAGAAATGGTTCCCAAACTGCTACATTTCTACCATATTCCCAAACTCGCCAAAAAATGTGAAGACTAGATTGAAAATGAGAATATGCAAGATTTTACAAGTACAAATCGCTGACCTTCTTAAACCAGAGTTGAAACTACGTTCTCGCTCCGAGCAGTTATATTTTTTAGAGCACTGCAATTTCAAAAGCTCAAAGCGCTAACTTTATTTATTTTTATATTCCCTCCCTATAAACTCCTCACATATTTGGCTCACTCATAAATTTGTGTGAGGAGTATTCTTATTTTCATAGCTCCGAGTTTTATGCGAAGCAAGGTGATACGAAAAATATTTATTACTCAAGTTCTTAAACACACAACACTTGAAGCGACAAAACCGCAAAGCTTTTTTCGACAAACTTTTAATTCAGAGACTGGCAGTAGAGAAAATAGTGAATCTAGAAATGCCTGTGAGAAACAACGAAGCAAGCAGCGCATCAAATTTATAGCATAAATAAAATGATTGCTCAATGGGCCTTACCGCAAAAGCTCCTGCCCGAAACATAATGCAATTACTGGCTTATTTAAATGGCTGCGTAATACCCAGGTCTTTGCATTCGACTCGATATCAAAGGTCATATGTCCAGGTTCAGCCCTTATGTCATCCTTTTTCTTCGATGTAGTCCATATCAACTGTTTTGTTCAACGCGTATCAATTCTTATTGCTCATTTACTGCTTTCCTCTTTACCGGCTCACATCACTTCCTTGCAAGGATGCATCGTAACGTTACTCTCTTAGCGTTTATCAAAAAAAGCAATCGTTTCTGTTGAAACGATTCTTTTTTTATCGTTTAGGGCATTATCAAAATAATTCTATTTTGGTTTTTAACGAAAAGAAAATCAATCGCTAATGCTGAAGCTGTAGCATGCATTTTGGTGCTAGATGCTAACGGGTGATTTTTTTGAGGTTAGGATTTTCATGCATTAGTATTNGAGCTGGCAATGGCATACAACAACAACTTTTCGTTGACTTTTTTGTTTCGATGTTAACTATTGAGTTTTGTTTCGTTAATTCAGCTCTGAAACGAAACGAAATTATTTTGATAAGTTATTTTTGCGCATCAACAAAACGATATCGATTCATATAGTTTGTTGAGCATCTCTGCTTCCTTGATTTAACCCATCCATTGTCCTTAAAATTTCTTGTTTACTCATTAACGCCCCTAAAACTAAAACTCCTGCCAGCACATTGCCCACACGTCCCTCAATGACTACTAAGCTTTTGTGGTTTTCATGACACAACGCGTGTTCAAAGCGTTCACTACATACGAGTAGGTACATATCGGCGCACGAACGTTTTGTAAATGAGGAAAGGTGCCGACTTGAACGCGCAACCACAACAGTTAACCTCACAGAACAAAAAATAACCACACAACACTTCCAACTAAAGTAGTAAAGGCAATTTAATTATTTTAAATTTTGTAATTTATGCAAAATAGGCTAACGAACAAATGTCACTCAAACCACCTGCTGTGTGGGGAAAATCCGCTTTTACAACAAAAGCAGCAATACGTGCTTACAAGCCTACATATTAACTATTATAGGAGAGTGTGAGTGACAACGGCAACAAGCTACCCTTTAGTGTAATCTTGACGCCAACCCGCTCACTAAATGAGCGCCTAATCCATACCCCCTGCCCGAAAACTAATTTCATTAACAGGCATTTCACTTTATAGTTGTTGTTGCCTATTTGCGTACGTTTTTTAAGCTCTACATACATACTACTGCTGTGAGGCTTGGTTTTGTTTGTTTTCGCATCTATTTACTGTACATTGGCTTTATTTCGTGTTTATTTATTGGCCTCTAATGTGTATTTGCATAGATTTGCCGCCGGTGTGCAGTTAAAATGGCACACATCAAATATACGGCGCTGACCACATAACCACATTTGTACAAAAAATTTGAACTTCCTACGCATTTGTTGCTGTTTTTTCTACTGCTCTCTTTGCGTCCCTTTGCCGAACGCTAATCACTTACTGTGCAATAATTAGCTGCTGTCACTGCAACTCTGTGCTGTGTTTATGATAATCACCTTTTTAACCCTTTCAGCGTCAGGGTCGCTGTCATGGTTCGAGGCGAGTTGTCATTGTTTTCAGTAAATAAATTTGCTTTCTATTATCATAGTGATTTTTCTCTGCGCTGTTGTGGCTTTAATTTGCCTGGTAATTTTTAATTTGCATATTTATTATTTTTGCAATATGGCAACGATGATTATGCATCAGTAAGCTTATTAATTTAGTCGCATCGACTAATTACTGTTGTGAAAGAAAACGCAAATGAGATTCAATAATGATAAATCCGCTAATTTATTTTTGTTATTGATGATACTTAAATAATTTTTGAAGATTTGGAATGAGTATCTACATATATATGTAGGCAATAATATGAAGGAAATTTTCGCACATGCAGCAGTAAATAACTAGCACGCATTTAGGCGCCCGGTTTTAGCCGTCGCGCCTTAACACACTTTGTTTACATTTAAATTAGAAACTTAACTTTATTTTTCAATACCTGCAAATAAAATTTTCACTTGCCAGAATTTGCAGCTCTCTCAAATTTTTACGCCACCAAATTTTCTCTTACTTGCAATATTTCTGGGTTATTGAATGCAATTCCAGTAAAAACTTGCAAGAACTGGTACCAATTCGTAAAACTTTTTTTTATATTGAATGGACCTAATATGGGCATCAATCTAAATGGTTTTGAAAAAGCTTTACTATACGTAGAAGGGCTGCCACCTGTTTAAAAAATCAAATTCTATGTATGATAAAAAAATTCATGAAAGATAATTTTATGGTCCAGTAATATAAAAGAAATGTTATCAAAACAAATCCCTCGTTGGCAATTATGTACGTATGAACATATTGTAATAAAATAACTTATACGATTTCGTAAACCTTTCGTTTGAAACAAATATTATTTTAATGAAATTAAATTTGACTTTAAAAACAGGTGGCACCCTTTTAAAAATATTTGAGAACTAAAACCTTCTTTAACCTTTTTCGTCTGACTCCCATATGGTAATACCTAAGTATTTCAATTACCTGATTCCCTTAAATCAAATGGAATTTTATTCATTAAACAGGTGGCAACCCTCCTACATTCTATGGAGCTTTAAGGCTTATTTGAGGCTTTCTAAGCTCTGCAGCTTAGTGAACCACAGTCATGTAGCCAAGTGCGTAAATGGAACCTCCTTGGTATGTTCTTGACGGGAATTAACTTAAGCTACAAGCCGATAAATATGTCGCTGACTTAAGCAACGCATCCCGTAAGGCAATTCAACAAATCTTTGGAGTATTTCTATTTTAGAGTTTTCTGCAGTTCCCCACAACTGAATTCCTAAGGTCCAGATCGATTTTATAAGAACTAGTAGAGTATATATAATTGGAGCGACGATTCATAAGCCATTGCAAGCTAGTGAGTTTTAGTTCTATGGCTTTTCGTTTTATAAATATAAATACCGAGATAAATACCAAGATATTAATAGCGTTTTCTTTTCTCAGAAAAAGTTCTGCCCTTTTATATGGGAACTCTTGCTTTGCGTTGCCCTGAAACCTGAGAAAATGTTGCGTTCTTTATATGAGAATGAAACAGAAAATATACTACTCCATCACAATTTATTTATAGAACTTAATAAAGCTGAATTATTCACTTGGCCTGTAAGTCTTTAACAATTTTAAAGCAAAACACTTATTTCTGATAGGGAAAATAATTGCATTTTTACAAGATTAAATTAAAAATCAACCATGCAACTCTCCCCCTCACGTTTATTTGAGGGCAGAAAAGGCAGCACTTTCGCCGGATCAGAGCGCAACCTGCTGAGAAAAGAACACGACGCCTTGTGAAAGGGCTGAGAAAAGAACATGAAAATGTGGCAGCGCTAACGCACAAAAGAAAACGCTATAAGTCTCGTTGCTTTGGGGCACATATACACAATTGCGTTTGACGAGCGGGCAGGTATCTCGCTTGAGGGTGAATGTCACATGGCCAGATTTTGGCTCATTGGACTTTATTCGCCAATTTTGGTGTACGCCTGCTAGCCATTCATGAAGTTTGGACTGTTCCATATCCTGTTTGGTGAAAAAGTAGCGATTTTTAAGGTAGGACTGAATAAATATATAGCAGGTAGTGGGAAGACTAGTTTTAATTTTATAAAGTAATCTATAGCTTGCAAAATATTTATGAAGGCAGCTGCACAATACTCTTTTTGGTCGAGGGCACAGTAATTTCAACAAGTCCATGCACTTTTTCGATTGCTCTTCTATGATTGATAGTAACCTTTTAAGAAAATGAATTTCCAGGATTATGCAGATCGTGGATCGTAAGCTAAATTCTCGATAAGATTCTACTTTATCAGCACTTTTTCCGGGTTTGAGACTAATTTTTATTTATGACACCTAAGTACAAGACAGGGTGGCGTTGACTTTATTTATTATCTCGGGTAGGGGTTCAAAGATATACGGTACGAATACCACTTTTAGATAGCTCGCAAATGTCTTAGCTTTTTCTAAATCACCTTTTGCCCATTTGCGGTTTTTATTATTGAAGATTCTATCAGGGTTGATCTCCTAAATTTGCTCTCTTCTTTCCAGAGAGAATATTCGGTAGTTGCAGATACATCAATCCTGCTCAGGTGTCGTTGAGTTTGGGAGTTCCTTTTTATATCTTCATGGTATCAAGTTTGCAAGACTTTTTTTCAGGCTTATGTTTTTCTTTTTTTCCTTGGAATTTAGCACTTTTTCTGGTTCAATATACATACTTACTAAAAATCACAAACTACTTACATCCAAAAATAAATTTTTTACAATCTTTGCTAGAAAGTACAACGAAAAAGTGCGATATTGAAACGGAGAATGAAAACAAGTAATTTTTAAGCAAAAAACACAACCTACTTCAACGACCTGTGAGACACTACCTTTTCGATAGAAAAATAATTATCGAAATCGGTNACCAATCTTGGTGTATTCCTGCTAGACATTCATGAAGTTTGGACTGTTCCATATCCTGTTTGGTGAAAAAGTAGCGATTTTTAAGGTTGGACTGAATAAATATATTGCAGTTAGTTGGAAGAGTAGTTTTCATTTTATAAAGTAATCTATCGCTTGCGAAATATTTATGAAGGCAGCTGCACAATACTTTTTTTGGTCGAGGGCATAGTAATTTCAACAAGTCTATGGACATTTTCAATTGTGCTGTTTTTTCCTGAAGCCGAGCTGAAGATTGGATATGAGTTTTCGCTCTTCTATGATTGGTAGTATCCTTTTAAGAAAGTGAACTTCCAGTATTATGCAGACCGTGGATAGTAAGCTAAATTCTCGATAAGATTCTACTTTATCAGCATTTTTTCCGGGTTTGAGACATGATTCAATAATAAAAGGTTTGCTCAAAAAGCAGTTTTCCCGCTTCCTCTTGACAAAATCGTCTCCCTTAGCAAGGGCACTGTGTGTGGGTTCGTGTGTGTGTGCAAAGATTTTGTAAGGGAGCTAAGGGAGTTTAAAAAACTCTAATGTCAATAATGAGCAAACCTTTGATTATTGAATCATGGGTTTGAGACTCATTTTTATTTATGACACCTAAGTACAAGACAGAGTGACGTTGACTTTATTTATTATCTCGGGTAGTGTTTCAAAGATATACGGTACGAATACCACTTTTAGATAGCTCGCAAATGTGTTAGCTTTTTCTAAATCAGCTTTTGTCCATTTGCGGTTTTATTATTGAAGATTCTATCAGGGTTGATCTCTTAAATTTGCTCGCTGCTTTCCAGAGAGAATATTCGGTAGTTGCAGATGCATCAATCCTGCTCAGGTGTCGTTGAGTTTGGGTATCTAGTTTGCAAGACGTTTTTTTCAGGCTTATATTTTTCTTTTTTTCCTTAGAAATCTAGAAATTTTTCTTGTTCAATATGCATACTTACTAAAAATCACAAACTACTTAAATCCAAAAATAAATTTTTTACAATCTTAGAAAGTACAACGAAAAAGTGCGATATTTAAACGGAGAATGAAAACAAGTAATTTTTAAGCAAAAAACACAACCTACTTCAATTCTCATAAAAAAGATTAACAGTACCGTTAATTTATTCATAATCCTATGATCGGATCTAAACCAAATTAGTACTCGAGGACCTGTGAGACACTACCTTTTCGATAGAAAAATAATTATCGAAATCGGTTGACGTGGTCCAAAGTTATGCGACGAATTGATAACCTCCTCCTTTGTTGGAAGTCAGTTAAAAATAAAACTAAGAATTTCTCTAAATGAGCCTTATAATTTAATAAAGAGGAAACGCTACGGATAATAAGAAGTACGACCGATATTTTTAAAATTTCTTTCAATTATTTCCTGAAAATTTTAAAGCAAATAATTTTCAGTTCTTAAATCTTTCACCAAATCAAGTGCAGCTCTCCTCACACTCTCCTACCATAAGCAATTCTCTCAATACTTTCGCATACTATCCGCAATTTCCACGCCTCTATGTCCTTTAAGTGCGCGCATTCTGCAACGGCAATCAAATCTGCACCCGAGCAATCAAATCCTGGATCATGTTGGCANTAGCTCTCCTCACACTCTCCTACCATAAGCAATTCTCTCAATACTTTCGCATACTATCCGCAATTTCCACGCCTTTATGTCCTTTAAGTGCACGCATTCTGCAACGGCAATCAAATCTGCACCCGAGCAATCAAATCCTGGATCATGTTGGCATTAGACATACCAAAAAAACTACACAGGATAACAGCAGTGACATTAACAAGCAAATTCCAAATCTACACAAAAGAAGCTGCAGAGACCAAATACCGCCTTTATTGATGGCTGCGCAGCCACGGACAATAAAAATTTCTACACCAAATGAAAGTGTGGACGATTAAAGCTAACGATACGCTAAGTAAACAAAATCGGTGAGAGGTAGTAGGCAGGGCGCATGAATGGACGATTGATGGATGTACATAAGTAGGTAGTGGGTTNGCGGTACGCTAAGTAAATAAAATCGGTGAGGGGTAGTAGGCAGGGCGCATGAATAGACGATTGATGGATGTACATAAATAGGTAGTGGGTTCGCTGGGATGAAGTAAGCAAGTGGAAGGTGGGTAGAGTGCTAGTCAATCGAGCAACCCACCGAAAAGCATTTATTAAAGTTCATGCTTTCTGATGTTGAGCGATCAAACTTTTCGTTAGCGGCGATAGTACGAGTTCTTTTCGCCAGCTTCCCCCATGCACCTACTTGTTGTATGCGCTGTTTGTCATGTATTCAAAAGAACATTATAGCACGATATGAGTAATTTGCTTTTGGCCTTAATGGTCAAGCGTAACTAAGATGAGCTATGTATGGCCAGACACACACACACACGCACATCAGTTTGGAGTTGCAGTGAATGGTTGCTCAACAGTGATGANACGATACGCTAAGTAAACAAAATCGGTGAGAGGTAGTAGGCAGGGCGCATGAATGGACGATTGATGGATGTACATAAGTAGGTAGTGGGTTCGCTGGGATGAAGTAAGCAAGTGGAAGGTGTGTAGAGTGCTAGTCAATCGAGCAACCCACCGAAAAGCATTTATTAAAGTTCATGCTTTCTGATGTTGAAGCGATCAAACTTTTCGTTAGCGGCGATAGTACGAGTTCTTTTCGCCAGCTTCCCCCATGCACCTACTTGTTGTATGCGCTGTTTGTCATGTATTCAAAAGAACATTATAGCACGATATGAGTAATTTGCTTTTGGCCTTAATGGTCAAGCGTAACTAAGATGAGCTATGTATGGCCAGACACACACACACACGCACATCAGTTTGGAGTTGCAGTGAATGGTTGCTCAACAGTGATGAGCAATTGGCAGTTGAAAGCTATTGCTGAATGTTCTTGTTGATGTGTCCGTTGATGAATGCCAAGCAGTCATGTTATGAGTTTGTAGTGACACTGGGAACATTGGGAGATACATAAAACGTAAGCAAGTGAAAGGTAAAATAGTAGTTTGCAGCAAGGGCTGTATGGGGCAATAAAAATATCAAAGAAAATGAGCTACCCTGCGACAAAGTTTATGATTGGAAAAATTTTGGAATTTTTTTGAAGCCGGTTTCTTAAAACTTTTATGTGATATCAAAATGTCCTGCCAGCCGAATTCCATCTTTTTAAAATACGCTTTGGTGTCCTCAGTTCGCATACAACTGAGACACCAGGTTCAAGCACCTTCCTTTTGTATATCCAGAAATCTATCCTTTACTAGATTTACAACGTCATCTGCGTAGGAAATCCTTTAGCAACCTCTTCCCACAAGTTCCCCTCATTTAGGATTCAAAGAATGGTTAAGAGAAGCACCACCCTGTGTAGAGCCTCTGCTTACCCTACGCTGCATTATATCGCTGCGTCATGCCGCCGGGAAAGCTTTGTCCCAGACAACGCGGTACCAGTATTTAAACAGGAATCTGACAATTGCCCGTAAGTACAACTTTAAATACTCCCTCAATCTCGGAAAAAGGCGCATTCAGTGATTGCTTTATATCTCCCTAAATCGTAAGTTTCTTTGGCCCTAAATTCCACGGATAATTCTGGAAATACCCTAAGAGAGTTTACAGTAGCAGTCAAGTTCAAGGCATCCTCCCACGTTTTGACAGAAAACCTCTAAGCTTTCTTGATTTTAGACTTATCGCTTCCAGTCCTGCTTTTTTAAGTTCTCAATCAGAGAGTTACTTCATTTTCCGGGCTCTAGTAAATAGTCGTCTGTGCTTGAGAACCCTATTTAGCAAGGCATGAACTCTCAAGAGCGCCTCCGCTTGGAACGATAACTGCCTCGATAAGTTCATCTACGGAAACAATATCGAGTCTAGTTCTGCCTACAGTGGGAGAGCCGAGCGCAAATTGCTGCTGTAGAGATACCAATTTTTATCCCTCAGATTTCTGAGTGGTGTGCTTACTAGACGAACTTTTTTCAAAGAGAAGTAGAAGTAGATATGATCCAAAAAGGAGTGATCTGGAGAACCCACCAGTCCGAGTTGGGAAATGCAGAAACAGAACTTAGAGTTACTCACCTTTTGCTTTAATAAGCCCGCTATCGCAAATAAAGGGACGCGAATTTCCATAGCATAGAGGTAGGCTTAAGTTCTACCAGGGTCCTTCGCTGTGCTCAGTTTGCGTTTCTTCGTCCTGATTATAGAGATACCGAAACTAATGAGCCATAGCTCCTGGATACCGATCACGTCAGTGTCGTGTTTACTTTAGTGGAGGATAATCTGGCAGACAATCAATCTCTCGGCTCCTCTCGGCCCCTTCGATCATCCGTTTAAGAGAATGATATCAAACCTCCTAGAGAAGCAACGCCGCCAGCACTCCCAACATCCTATAGATTCCAAAGTAAATCCACCTCACAAAGCGAT